TTTCCCATGTGTAGGTTATACATATTGCTAGTGATAACACACTTTTTGGTTAATGGAATGTCTAAAAATCCTGTATATGTATCCATTACAGTTTTCCTTTGAAATATCTGTAATCTCTCCCATTTTAAAAGATTTGTAGTTTAGTCATCAGTTGCACATATTGTTTTGCTTAGGGGAGAAGCCATGTTACTTTAGGGGGGGAATTGACATCCATATTTTGAAGATTTATTTTTGTTTTTTATATACAACATAGAATTTACTGTCGTGATTGATGACAGCTTTGCTATGTAACTCTTGTGTCTCTGGACCACCAAAGAACCTTGTTGCTTTAGGCTACTGAATAACAACAGGGCTATGCCCTAATTTATTCTGGTGTTTTCTCAACAATGACCTATTCTTTTAGAACGAGACGGTTAAAAAACTGGAGGCTCGTGTTCAGCAGTTGACTGTTGAGGCTGAAAATAGTAATTTACAGCGTCAAAAATTATCTCAAGAAAGGACTGATGCAGAACAACGTTACCAGGCAGTATGCTCTGAACTTCAGGAACTGAAAGCAAGGTAATTAAATAGCTGTTGCTGTTTTTAACATTGAAGAATATGGAATATCCAAAAAGCAAACATTATTCGTTTTAATTCAAGAATTGAGTGAATGGTAATTGGCAGTAGCAAATTGTCATGAAAATGTATTAATTAACGTAAAACCCATTTTGGAACCGACTCAAACGACCATCGTAAGGAGTATGTTATGTCTCCATTATTTATAAGCATTTCATTCTGTTACAGTAAGCACCTGGTACAGGCAGACTTGCATACTCTGTAGAATTGATACTGAGCAGGTAAGATGCCAAAATATGAAAACAATTTCCATATTCTGTTTGCTTACTACTTGTAGGCACAGCTCACTTCAGAAAGACAAGGACCATATTATACAGGAATATGAGGAGAACATTCAGCAACTACAAAGTAAATACGATGTTGATACAAATTTTATAAAGCAGGAACATGCTCTCTCTGCAGCTAAGGTATGCTTCCATGTATAGGCATTAAAATGTTGTTTATTTAAGTGGTCTCCTCAATATAAATGTAATGCTTACGAATAAATCCAAGGAACTGTTCAGTTACCTAAGCTATTCATGTGCATAAGTTTAAAAAAAAATTGTGGTTTAATTTTTCATTCCCAAATTTGCCTGAAAAAATCATTGAAGATGACTGATAATTCTGGTGTGTGTACGTGTGTACATAGAGATGGTATCTCCATAGCTGATTCAGGTAAGTTACAATTAATATGCTGATTTTGTTTGTGCTTCTGTAAAAATGCCAGATACTGGAGGATCTCAGCACACTTAAAGACTTAATGTTTTCATAAGGCCTCTTCAGTGCGGGAAGATATTTTTCCAGAAATAAATTGTCTTGCAGGCATATTAGTATGGAACATTGTTAAATATTTATGTTTAAGAAATTATTTTTAAATTCTGCAAGCGTACATTCCACTCAAAATGTAATAATTCTGGTTTGTTTCTGTAAAAATATCTATCAGGTTGATATTTAACAATATGCATAGGTAGATGTACAGTATATATTTAATACAATTTTCAAGTTAAATAATTGTAGAGAAGGCTCACGTTTTAAATACCATCTGCTAATCCTTAGAGCTGTAGAACAAATTAGGTCTTTTTCATTTATTTACTGCAGTTCTGAGAGCTTTGGTACTTCATTTAATTTACAAGGTATTTTTCTTTCTTTCAGTTGTTAGTGCCAAGGGTTTTTTTTATTATTAGCAAATTTTTTGTGGCTTTGTTTACATTTCTAAGTTCACCAGATGGACAGAAGTGATGTATCCGGAGTTGTAAACTCATACAGGGTTTTTTCCCAAGTTGATAATTTTTTCCAATTTCCAGGCACCTTTGAGAAATAAATTCAAAAACACAAAAGATATATCTGTAGAGCTAATGAGAAATGCAACACAAAAATTCCTTTTTCTGTTAAATCCCTACAGGCTTCTGATGCAATTGAAGAATTACAGCATAGCGTGTCTCTATTAAAACAACAGTTACAAGATACAGAACATCAAAGACAGCAACAGCTGAGGGTAAGCCCTGAATTTCTTACTCAGGAATGACCAGCCCTTTCTACCATTTCCAGTGATTTGAATGTTTAGATAGCCATACTAAAATGCACTTACATGTAAAATGCATCTTTATATATTCATAGAAGTATATAAAGTGTCACCTTGTGCTTAAAGGTTGATTTAGAAACTACAACGAAAAGATCACTTTATGGGTAAGAGCAGAATTTTCACAGGAGCTTTTTGACTGTTGTAATTCACATGTTAAAACAGTATAAATGTGTATCAGTGGGTTAGAGGGGAAACATGTCAAAGAATTAGGAATATCTTTTTTTTTTTCCTGTAAACATTTTTAAAGTAAGTTTCAAAATTGCCTTTATTTTTGTTGCTATTTAAAAGTTCAGTTCAATATTCTATCTTCCTAGAGGCGTTTAAATTAATCCCTGTCTCAGGATAATGAGTTCCACATCTGTATCATGTATCAATCCTGTTTGAGTTTTGGCATCTACTTTTCCTCCTATGTCTTTCATTTCACAGTTGATGTAGTACAGAATGGCATTTTAATTGCTCAGGAGAGTAAGTTGCTGTTTCTCTTTAGAAAACATGAATCATGACTTTCGAGATAGTTTTGTTATGTGTGGATATTTCTGCTGTTGGTTGAATTTTTTTTGTATGCCAAAGAATTTTTTTAATGATGATATGAAGTGGATTTTTAATTTTTATGGGCTGTTCTACATAATAGGAAATGTGTGTGTGTTTAATGACTGCTTTGAAATGAAAGAAAAATATGATTCGTTTTTTAGAATACACATCTCTTCCTTTGCAGGATCAAGAATACAAGCTTCAACAGGACAAACTTCACTTGGAGCGTGTATATGAAAAACAGGTAACGTTTTCAGGAAAATACAGACAATCTTATGCACATTTCCAATTCTGTTGTATACAGAAGCTAAAGGTTTAAATTCCGAAATCCCCAAAGTAGTAAATTTTGGAATCCACGCATATCATATGTGTTGGAAAAAATAATTGGACAAATTCAAGGAGGATTATAAGTAGAGCTATTTAAGCACAGAGATACGGCCTCTGATTCTAGAAGCTGGTTGCCAAATGATCGAGGCTGGGAGAGCATTACCAAAAAGTGCCATTGTATAAGCTGCTGTTTGTTGCCATCTGATGTTAACTGCTGTTAGAGAAAAGATAATGAACTAAATTGAATTTAGCCAGACCTGTTGTCAGTGTTCATGTGTTCTTCCATATTTTTTCCCCAATGTATCTTTATTCCATACTTCTCCATGACTTGCATGTGTTCTTTATATATTGTCAGCATGTATTGTTTTTACATCCGAAGCTTAAATTTAAAAATGTAATTTTAATGAAAAACACTTCATCTTAAACCACTTTGCAAATATTGTCTACTTTTTTAGATTTTAAACATCAATAGGTTTCAAATTAAACTTCAATTTTAGTGACATTATGTCTTCAACTCATGTAGTGTTTAGGAAGAGTTAGATGTTAGAAGAGTTACTTAGATGCCTATTTAATTGAAAGGATGTGTTATTCAAACATGTCATTTCTAAATGCGGCAAATTTATAACATAAAATAATGAATTGTGATCATAGCTACTTGTCACTTGGTAATAGCATTTGCAACATGAATTGTAGTGAGTTTTTGGTTTGAGTTAGTGCCTTTTGCTGTCTTTAAGTCAAATACTGTTTCGTTCCAGGATATGCTCTGGTCTAATCCCAGCCTACGTTTGTCTTTTTAGACCAGTCATGGTTGTTTATGAATGTCAGCCTCAAGAAAAGACTAGGATTGGAATAATATTACAGGTCAAAATAGAAATACATTAGCATAACTTGGGTATCTTCTAGCTATTGAAGTATAGTGGACATTGGTTTACTGCAATACATCACTTCCTCTGCGGATAAGTACAGATTAGATGTGGCTGGTAATGTTTCCAGGCACCACGTCCAAATGCCATCAAATGGCACATGTCTACACTGTTTAACTTTACGATTCCGGACAGTAAGGCGGATGCCTCCGTATTGGCTTTCTGCGGTGGTGCCTGTCCCGTGTGAATCTTGAATGCGGTTTGAGGATCGTTTCAGAAAATGCTATGTAGCATGGGCTAAGAGCATGTCAGCAGTCGCTCTACACCAGTAAGCACAGACATTGAAGTTGTAACTCCGTATCAGTAAAGAACGTAGACCCTTTATTTTTAGTAGATAACTTTTACAGCAGCTTGCCTATTCATAAATTTTAATGTAACTGTGTTTTCAAAATCAAATCTTTGAGACAGGAGGAGGAAAAAATACATGTGAACAATCTATGGATATAAAACCATAAAGTAGTCTAGATTGGCCCATAAAATACTAAAGCAAGCTTGCTTTCAACTAAAGGAATCATCAAGTCTCTGGTGCAATCTGTTCACTTAAGAACCTACCCATTATCTAATAATCTTTATTAGTCTACAGTGGCTATTGCCTGCTAGGATATTGAAACATCAAACAAATAATAGGTAGTAACCCTAAATGTCACTGATTAAATGTGCTTATCTGCTGAATCAGGAACCAGTTAGGCTAAATGGTTTTACAAGTGAAGGAAACACCTGCTTTTTATAAATAATCTACTGCTTGTTTTCCAAACATTCAGCTAAGGGTAAGAACAGTGACAGATTATTCCGGAGAGCTGTTCTTGAGCAGCTGTTAAATATATATAATCTAACCAGCTTTGGCAGTACCTTCTTTACTCTGATAAACAGCCCATGGGTTCAGAGGCTCTTTCAAACCAACTAAATATTCAGACTTCCATGTAGTAAACACCTTCATGGAACTGTTTACAGTAGAGAATATCTAAATTTTTTCTGCATTGCACTGTACTCTTATGCTTCTGACTATACACTGATTAAAATATGTTTTCCTTTATTTTAGTGACTTAATAGCATGTAACATTGCAAATGATTGTAAGTGAATAAAGGATTTCCTGTGCTCCCCATCTGGTAAAGAAAAACATGCTTAGTACATCACATCACCACATGGTGACTCGAGCAATCCTAAAAGCAAAACAAACTCTTGTACTTGATCTGCCTTTGGCAAAAAATATTACAAAAACCTATGGTTTAGACCATGGCTGGGAGGTTGACAAATTCTGAAGCTGCCTTCCTCTATTGATCTAGAAGTACCAGAGAAAAGAATTCCTCATAAAAATGTCTATTCCTGGTTAGTGAATTCAGAAAGTGGGACTCAGATTTTGTTCAAGGTTCTCTGTGACTATATTGCTTTATAGGGAGAGAAGCAATTTCTCAGATTACTAGGATAGGTTCCTTGTGAGGTCTTGAAAGTTTCCATTTTCATTCCGCGTTGATTAAATATTAATAGGAATTAAAACAGTATTTCAAATTTAAATGGTAACTACAATATACTGGGAAAAATAAAGAAATTTAGAGGAGAATAAAAGTTTTTTGTAACTGAGTATTTTTAGGATGTTTGTGTAAGAGGTCTGTCTCACTTTTGTGTGCAAATGTCCTTTAAAATATGTGTGTATAGATATTGCCCGGTGTAATGGCAGTTGCGTGGAGGATAATTACCTGGAAATGCAGTTTGCTTGGGGAAGTGGAAAGGAAGAAGGATAAGCAGCGTGGCTGAGCGAAGGAAAATGGAGAGAGGTGTGGGACTCCGTGATGTTAGGCAGTAGTGACCCTCTGCTGCGTGCAGAGGTCAGGTTTAGTGATGTGGAAGATTTTTATACTGCAAGACTGTTCAAAGTGAATGCATATGCTGATGCTGATCTAGGTAAGAGATGATGGGGAAGAGATAGGAAGATGACGCAGGCAGCTTTTTTCTGTTGTGCGAGGATGCAGAGGCTCTCGGTTTGCAGTAGGATTGGTTTCTTGTCACATCTATCGGAGTGACAGATGACCTATTCTTCTGGATTCACACTGTAGTATAAGCAGCACGTGGTCAGTTTTCTCTGGAATAACAATTGTTAGCTAAGATCCTCTATCATTTTAGAGGTGTGTGTGCTTTTTTGGGTTTATTAGTTGTATGCTCACACAAGAGTGCAATACCCTAGCATTTCCACATGATGTTTTTAATGTCTGGATGCAAAATGGAAAAAAGAAAAGTTTTACATAATGATTCAAGCACTGTGGTTTGATTTCACTGGGTCAGGAGTTCATTAGTAGTAAACCACTTTTCCTCAAAGTTTTACTTAGTAAAAGTATCTACGCTCAGCTAGTTCATGGTTGAGTACGTATTATTCTAAAGGAATGTTATTTACTATCATTATGTTTGGTATTTTTATTGCTGTAAGAATTGACAAAAAGTAGTTCACTTGGGGTATTCACAAATGGTTAAGTAGGAACTCTGCACCATAGGGAATACAGGTCATTATTTTAGGCAGACTTCAATATGCTTTCCTGTATTTATCTAGAGAAAATGTAGTCCTTTTTATGTAATTACTGGTATTTCTTTATTCTAGAGAATAATGGTCATTTTAGAGAAGAAAAATAGCTCTATTGGCTGTATTCTTGTACTTCATCTTGCTTACTGTTGCATTTTATGTAATTTTAGAAATATATAGGTCGTTGTCTACATCAGTGCAAAAGAAATATGCAAACAAGTAGTTTTTATAATTTAAAATAACTTTTTTTAATCAGACTTTGTTTTAGCTGAAATATGGTATTTTTTTTCCTTCAAATGGTAGATTCATGGCATCCGGAATGATCTTGATAAAGAAAGAGGGGATGCTCAAAAGAAAATTCGCAAACTGGAAGAGACTTTGAAGTAAGTGGATATGGAATAATTGTTGAACCATCCCCAGTTTTTTAGTCAAGTTTATTAAGTAAACTTATGCTTTGTCTCATCCAACTGCCTTCCTATAATTTGTCTGGGTTATCTTCCCATTGTAAAGCTGCGTCTTCAGGGTTTTGCTTCTTCCTTTACTTTTTTAATTTTTATGGCTGCCTAAGCCACCTAAATTTGCTGACTTTTGAGTGTTAGGAATAAAACAGGATTGAAGTTAGTGATGTCAGCTGGTTTTGCGCTGACATTATTTATTATTATTGATATTCCAATAAATTAAACCTGCTTCAATTTAGAATGGATACATAGTAGGCAAATACTGCAAGCTAAAGACTAGTTGCTTTGCACTGTTTTAGAGGAAGAGATAAGTTTGAAAGATGTATTTATTGAAATTATTTTCTAACTTCATTCAGTATATGATGCTTGTGCTTTTTTTTTTTAATATCCACAAATTACAACTTTAATGTGGGTTTTTCCTCTTTGATACCACACTTTTTTGTGTGAATACTTATTTTTCAAATGTAGCTAAGGCTCGGAGAAATGGTCTGCAGCAAACAGAAACTAACTTGCAATAGCTTTTTTGCTGACCTTGTACATCAAAAAACTAATCAGGAAGCAACAAGTGTGATGTTTTCTGAATGGAGGAGTGGTTTACATGCAGCAGATGCATATATGACAACATCGATTCTTGTTATCCTGCTTCCATTTTTTATTATGTAAAATATTGTTTCCATATGTTTATCCAGTTTAAATTCAAAGTTATGGAAATAATTTCTAAGGAAAACAGATCATTTTGAAACAAACTAGAAGTTATTTGCTAAAACTATTCAGTTAAACGTTACAACGTACCTTATCTAGGCTGATAGAGGCTTTGGGAAGGTACTTTTATTCAATAAAAGTCACACAGATGAAGTCTGTATTCATTTATTTCTATAATCTCTTAGGTATTTGGCATAAATAGAGTCTATCTTAAATAACTACAGACATTGGTAAGAACTCCAGCTTTTAATCTTTAAATTCTTTACACTATTATTTATAATCTTAGGGAGATTGAATTGTTATCAACTAAACGTAATCTCTTAGTATTTCAAGGTCTGATTCATTAATAATGTAGTTGCATTAATTATCTTCCATGGGTTAGTGTGCTGTGGATTCTGAAGTTACTTTCTAGTTAACAGCACTGCACTTGTAGATAGCTGAGGAGGTCCTCATTTATTTCAGAAGGCTGTAATTGAGCTTAGGTTGAATATTTGGGTTTAGAATAAGGCTTGGAAAGACTAAAGTTTCAGGAGCCCAGTTTGCGGATGGATACTTCAGGGCACACAAATTAAGATGATGTTGACAGAGGCCAGTCCCAACCTTGTGCTTTGTATGAGCGGGTCCTCCGAGCCATCCTGAGTTTGGGCCAACATCTGGGATCGAAGAGCCCTGGAGGCTGCATGTCGGGCTAAAAGTATGTTCAGACTGTTTCCCCTACAGCAGGTGATTAACACCTATTACTGGTTTTCAAAGTGTCTTTGAATATAAGCTACTTCCACTCATATTGTAGAGCACTTTTCCCAGGGTGCTTCCATGTCCAATGCACTCTGTTTCCCTTGTGCTTTCTGATTTATTTCTTTTTGTGAATCAGGGTGTTGAACATAATGTAGCGATTTCTAATATTAAATGATATCTCACTCTCCTAATGGAAAATGGAAAATGTTTTCATTTTGGAGCTAGCTTACCCTGTAATAATGAATCTATACTGCTGTTCTTTTGGTTGTTTTATAGCAGTGATTTGCAGTTAATTTTAACATTAGTAATGGAATTAGTAATACTAGTAAGTAATTATTTTGTAATTGAGCAGAACTAAAAATTAGCTTCCATCCTTGTTTTTGTCTGTGTGGAGACAGAAGTTGGCAGGGTCATCGGGGTGGATTTGTGCTCCTAAGGATTAAAAACATTGTATTTACAGAAATATAGTTGCCTGGTCTAAGCCCAAGATATATTCTGCTGACCAGTTCTTCCACATTTCAACTCTGGTGCAAAACCTCTGCCTCTTGCATCTGTACATTTCTGATGGTGAATGTGTCGGTGCACGTGACTGTTAAGAACAGATTCACATGCCCAGTATAGAGGAACTGCTAATCTCGCAAGGCTGACTTTCTGGAAAACAAGCCATTCCTTCAGTACCAATGTTTCTGGACAATATTAAAATTTTTACATGTAGGTGTTTATATAAGATATGTTCCGAAGTAATACATGACAAGCCATAATACTTGTGTCAGAAATGGATGGCTTGCTTATGGCTTTTTTCCCCCATTGCTGCAAAAATTAGTCCTTTTAACATTCTCTTGCTATTAATATTAATTCACAAAATCTAATGTCTTACTTAGATGCTTAGAAGATAAAATGCTTTATTTTGCTGGATTTTTTTGACTATGTGTAATCAAATTAAGTAATTACAAGCTAAGGCAGATACAGTAAACCTTTAGAAAACAACCTTACCGTCCTTGAGATGGGCAAAAGTATAGTTCACCATCTTCAACAGAAACGATGCCTTGTGGTATTGCAGCTCAGGACCCGGTAGGTGCATCAGTGATTTCTTATAAACTACTTTGATCTAAATGCAGTTTGATGGTGAAATGGCCACAGGATAATATCTTGAGGAGCTAGTCAGCTACAAACACATAGAAAGGGAAGTGGCAGGGTTTTTAGTGGCGTTTAATTACATTTATTTTATTTTCTTCCCAGTGGTGTGACAGCAAACAGTGTTTTTGCAGTTTCAAACACATCCACATAGATGCATAATGAAAGTGGTTTGAGACATTGTGTGGAATAGTAAAATCCACATTTCTAAAAGTATCTTTCACTTCAAATAGTATTGCCAGATTTTTAACACTGAATAGGGGTTTGCGTAGTTTATGGAAGGATTTTTTCTTCTTCGGTTTATAGTAGAAATATCTGTCAAAAACAAATCTTTTGCAAAAGAATTGCTCTAATACTCATGACTACGGGTGGTGACTTTTAGATGTAAATCTTACAGTGAGTTTAGCAATGCATGTCATAGGCATTGCCTAATAGCAAAAGTGACTGTAGGAAATGCTCCAAGGATTTTTCTAGAATGTCATTTAAACTGCATTTATATAATAGCAAAGTATTCTTAAAAAGCTTTTGTGGAATTACTTTGGGGGAAAGGTGGTTTCTCTAATCCCTTTAGTTTAGTTGCATAAAATATGTCATGAGAGTGGGTTACAAATAGGCTAAATCTCTGTGGTTCTTATCTCTTTTGTTTTAAGCAGAGGAATAGGAAATAAAGCGGTATAGTTACATTAAAAGTTGTTACACTACAGACTGAGTTGAATACAAGAGAAAAAAATTAAGAAAAAAATCTGTAGCCATTTGTTGCTGAAAAAATTACATGGAAGAGAAGGAAAAGGTCTAGCTGACTTTTTAAAACACTGCTATCCAGAGTAGCTCTCAACATGACCTATTGTGTCTTGCTCTGTGAGATTTGGACACCAATTTATTAAAAATATTTTTGTTTCTCTATTATTATTATTATTATTATTA